CACCGAGGCTTCGCGCAACTGTCAGGAATGGATTCGAACAGCGGCTTGAGCCACGATCCGTCCGGAGAAATCTGCCTCTGCCATCTACCTAACCCTATACTCCCCTCAAAACCTTAATAAGAATAATATGTTTAATACCCTCTTGGGCTTTGTTTTAATAAAATAAAAAATAATTCCCAAGAGGGATATAGAACCTGGAAACTCACGCCTTGCTACCGGCGACATGAACATTGCGATACCCTCAATTGGGGAGTTTCCTGAGTCACATACAAACCACGCGGGTCCTGAATCGTGTGAGATCAGTTTCCTGAATCATGAATCAGGCAGTTTCCTGTATCGTCGTTAATGAAATGTGTGAAGCAAGTTTCCTAGCTTCCAGAAGCGCAGTGAATCGCAGGAATGTCCTGAATCCTGGTTTCCTGAACGCGGCTGGTTTCTGATTCCCGTGGAACCCAAGAACAGATCTGGAGGAGCTCGAGCCAGCAATTCACCCAACTCTCAGCCCCAAGCCAGCCCCAAAGCCGGACAAAGGTCCTCGAACTGTTTCCGTTTCCCCAGAGGGTATTCTTCAAGATCCTCTCGCCAAATTTCTCCACAAACATACATACTAAGCAACAGCCAGAATCACAAACACACCCCGCGACCGCAAGCCTTTAAGAATCAAGGTCCAACAAGGTTTCTTCTAGGGGGGTTTCTTGTCATAACACCCAGAGTAGCCCCAAAAGCCCTGCGCCCGCAACTTCCCCCGGACCTCGCCCTGCATGCTCTGCTGGAGGGAACGCAGGTCGGTGCTCTCAGAGCGGCCGCTCTTCCTGCTGAAGGATTCGGGGCTCAGGGTTTGGGGTTTAGGGCTAAGGGCTTAGGGCTTATGGCTTCGGGTTTAGGGTTTAGGGTTTAGGGTTTAGGGTTTAGGGTTTAGGGTTTACGGCTTACGGCTTCGCGGAGCTGAGCTGCACATATGAGACCGACACACCGACACGTGAGCCTCGTGAGGCTGGATGTTGAGGACAGGGATGGGCCCTGTCCAAGCTTCCTCAAAGCCCTTCCCGACTCCCCTTGAATCGGCTTAGGGCCGGAGTTTTGGAAAGACGGCTCCACCGCCTATTCCTCAACACGCAGAACTTCAGACCTCGCAAAACCATAACAAGCAAAACAAGGGCGAGCCTCACAAGCCACTGGCGCGGCTTGCTATCCAGTATCCAGTAGCCTTGTGCGGCAAGAAACTCTGCAAAACAACAAAGTGGAACGCAAATTTGCCCCCAAGCCCATGTAGTCTTCTGGCATTCCTCCAGAAATCCGCAACCCAAAAGCCCTGGCCCGCGAATCTCCCAGGAGGCGGGCCAACCAAACACTGCACCAACCCGCGCTCCACAACACAGGAGACTTCAGCACCCAGTTCAACCCTGAACCCTAAACTCTAAACCCCAAACCCCAAACCCTAAACCCTAAACCCTACACCCTAAACCCTAAACCCCAAGCCCTAAAAGGCCAGGCGCACCTCGCCCGGATTGGACGCAGAAGTGCAAGCCAGGGATGCCTTGGCTGTTTAGGGTTCAGGGTTTAGGGTTTAGGGTTTAGGGTTTACGGTGTAGGGTTTAGGGTTTAGGGTTTAGGGTTTAGGGTTGAGGGTTTCAAGGTTTAGGGTTCAGGGTTTCAAGGTTTAGGGTTTAGGAGTTAAGGTTTAGGGTGTAGGGCTTAGGGCTTAGGGGTTCGGGGTTAGGGGTTAGGGGTTAGGGTTTAGGGTTTAGGGGATGGAGTTTGCCATTTCTGACCCCTGAGCTGGCGGTTGGAACAACTTATAGCTCCCATAACCCTGCAGGGTTTTGGGTTTAGGTGTGAGGGTCTAGGGTCTAGGGCTTCGACGTTGCCCTGCTAATAACTATCCTTTTCGGTGGCTTGAGCGGGATATTTCAAGTTTGGGTCGGAAGTCTTCTCGCGGTGATGGTCGGTGGCGGGGGCAGAAGAGATAAGGGTCTAGGCCCTAGGATTTCAGAATACTTCTGGGGTTGCCCGTATTAGCCTGGAGTTCTTGAAAACCCAGGGACTAAACCCCTAAACCCCTAAACCCCTAAACCCCTAAACCCCTAAACCCCTAAACCCCTAAACCCCTAAACCCTAAACCCTAAACCCCAAACCCTAAACCCTGAACTCCCCCGCCGCGGAGCTCGAGAGAAGGTCGTCCTCGGCGCCGCAGCAGGCTGCCGGATCCTGAGGCCCCTCCGAAGCTCTGAGAGTCCCACATGACCCCCTTGCGGAACCCTTGGGGTGTAGGGTTTAGGGTTTAAGGTTTAGGGTTTCGGGTTTAGGGTTTAGGGTTTCCCCAAGCCTGAGCCTCCAAACTCAAATCCCAACAACCACCCCAAGAATCCCCGGGTGAGGACATGTGCTGTCGTCATGCGAGTAGCCAAAGTCTGCAGGAATTGGTGGAGATCTCCCTGCACAGCAGGCCAGTCCAAATCGTCACCTCGACGATTCACAGGCTCACAGGGTCTGGAGGTGGGCCGGGAAATATTTGGGGTCGCGATTCTCCTGTATTCCGCATGATGGGCTCTCTCTAGGAAAAACCATTCTCCTCTAATCCTTAAGGACTTAGGGTTGTCGATTTTGGGAAACCACAGAGCGCTCAAGTGTCACAAAGTGCTTCAAACCTCAACTTGCGCAAGCCACGTCCCTGAACACATCGCAGAACACCCCCGAGTCCAGACTAGCACTTGCGCCCCAAGCCCCCCCCCCATTTCATGAGATGAGCCCTGATTTCTAGACCCCTACAAAGAGCTCGCCGAGCGGCCGAGGAGGACCCCGCCGCCTCTCCTTTGAGAGAGGCACGGCAAAGCAAGGATTCGGCTGGGGTTTATATATGCGGCTTATCTAGAGTAACCTATGCCTTTACAAAATGGAAATATGTACCAATAGTTAAAGACAAACGAACTAGGTCGGGGGAAGAGCTCTACCCCACTTTTCGCCCGCTGTTGTGATTTCACACACACCTATATATGTATATATATACATATATATATATATATATATATATTTGTTGATTACACATACTAATTGTTTACTTATGTAATTAACTAATTAACTAGTTAATTAAGTAACTAATCAGAGTAGTTAATGAATAAATTGACGCATTCTTCTTGCATTTTCTATATATATATATATACATATACATATATAGTTAGAAAGCTCAGTCAGGAGTTCCCCACCTTCGGTGCGGGGTTGTTAGACTTTAAACTCAATTCTTCTCCTCGCCCGGAACTCTTATCCTCGCCCAGAACTCTTGTCCTCGCCCGGTCTACTCCTAGAGCCTCCCTGGAGTGCCCAACCCCAGAGACTCCCTGGAGTGCCCAACCCCCAAGACTCCCTGCAGTGCCCAACCCCAAAAAAACTCCCTGGAGTGCCCAACCCAGCTGGAGTGCCCAACCCAGAGTCTCCCTGGAGTGCCCAGCCCTTCTCCTGGAGTGCCCAACGCCAGAGTCTCCCTGGAGTGCCCAACCCCAATTGCAAGCAAAACTAAGAAAGCGTATTTGAATCAATGTGTCTTTGTTTGAACATCCTATTTGCGCTCTTTCCGTTTAACGAGGAGCAAGGTGGGGATGTTCGAAGTAAAATAACTGAAACCAAGATTTTGTAACCTTTTCGCAGGATCTGCAAAGCCGGATTCTAGGTCAAACTTCACGAAACTACTACAGAATACGGCCTGCACTGAACTCCATTCGCCAGTGGACTTACAAGCACCAATGAGAAGATGCCATCTGCCTGCCTGCTGATAAAGGACTCATCTGATGCGAGGTGCCATGAAAATTCGTATTGCTACTCCAGCACTGCCGAAAGCCCCCACGGCAGGACAAGACCACCATGTGTGCGATTCCAGCGGCAGGAGGCGGAAAGCCTGGACCATTTCGAGCCTGAATAGGCAGGAGAAGGCACAGCTAGTTGGGATCTAGGGCCCTCTCCACGCCAGGGTCACATCTCGCATCCAAAACTCCACAAAACAGCCACTCTGACAATGCCTTCTGCGAAACAAATCACAACTCATCAGAAGCACACAAGCCAGCTTTTGTGTGGTTCAGATATGGGAAATGCCGAGGCCTCGGGGCAAAAAACACGGTCGCATAACTTCTCGCAGTCAAACCAAACAACACCTACTAGCAGCTAACCCGAGCCCCAGGTGCGAGGCCTTGTCACCCAGCAAACGGGACTTTCAGCTTGGCGCGTGGTACGATTCATGGTTTCGTGTACTGGTTCCAAACACAAAACGCTCATCTGCATCTAACTAGCCAAAGGCTCAACCAACTAGGATGGTGTTTTTGTTGCTAAAACACACAACGCTTGGTTCCCCTCAGATACTTTGAGAACCTAATTAATGCACCATTATGCACCAAATATACCATACTAACCAAGACATGTCCGCGGGTCAGTTCCCTAAATAATGGTCCTTCTTGGCACACCCTAGATGTATGCGTATTACAACACGGACCCCAACAAGAAACAAAAAGAAGAGGCCAGATGGTCCCAGGATGTTGCCGGCATGTTCCCTTGCCCACCTTCCTGAACGCCGGAGCGTTCTACGCTCGACCCTCAACCCCTCAACAACACCCTCAACCCCACTAGGAAACCCCAGAGCAAGCCAAAAGCCGTCCGAGGAACAGCGTCTCGCCCTTTTCATGCGCGGAGTCCAGGTAGATCAAGTCCACCAGGGGGACGTCGCCCCTGACCTGTGGCAAGCGCTTGGTCTTGAGCCGTGGGTTCGGAAAGCTCAGGCGAAGGACACGGGCAAACACTCCTCGGATGCCGACACCCTCGAACAGCGTTAGCATCCAGCGCTGCGCTGCTTTCCCAACCCCATAGCCGTGGAAATCATTCCTGAAAAATCACGAAACGTGTTTGTTTCTTAACATCGTGCTCAGTTTGCACATAAGACGCCCTTTTTCTATCCCTAAACCCTAAACCCGAAACCCTAAACCCTAAACCCTAAACCCTAAAAGGAAAGAGCGATATCCCGTGTCGGGGGGCCGAGAGCCGCTGCAGGGCTCGGAGGGCGCAGAGCGAGGAGAGCGGCAGGGGGAGGATCACGTCCCGGTGCTCCCAGACCTCTGCTGTTTGGGGTTTAGGGTTTAGGGTTTAGGGGTTAGGGTGCTAGGAGGGCTCATAAGGTACTTGTTAACCAACAATAACTGTACATATAATAGATCATGGTACTCATTGACCTCTGCTGTTTAGGGTTTAGGGGTGCTTTGTTAACCGGTTTAGGGTTTTTAGGGTTTAGGACTTAGGTTTAGGGTTTAGGGTTTAGGGTTTAGGGTTTAGGGTTTAGGGTTTAGGGTTTAGGGTTTAGGGTTTAGGGTTTAGGGTTTAGGGTTTAGGGTTTAGGGTTTAGGGTTTAGGGTTTAGGGTTTAGGGTTTAGGGTTCAGCAGCTCTCCTCCAACCTCATTTATTCATTCTCTCGTGTTTTTTGTCATTCTGCTTGGTTTCCATTCTGCTCGTATGCGTTTCTTTCTGCTCGTATTCATTCTGCTCGTATTCGTTCTTTTTCTGATCTGCTCGTCTCGTGTTCGTTGTCGTTCTGCTCGTATTCATTCTGCTCGTATTCGTTCTCTCTCTGCTCGATTTCAGTCCGCTCGTTTTCGTTGTTTTTCTTCTCGTATTCATTCTGTTCGTATTCGCTCTCTCTCTCTGCTCGATTTCAGTCTGCTCGTCTTCGTTCTCTCTCTGCTCGTAATCATTCTGCTCGTATTCGTTCTCTTTCTGCTCATATTCATTTTGCTCGTGTTCGTTCTCTTTCTGCTCGTATTCGTGCTTTTTCTGCACGCTCTCTGCTCGATTTCAGTCCGCTCGTTTTCGCTGTCTTTCTGCTCGTACTGAGTCTGCTCGTACTCATTCTCTTATTCATTCTGCTCGTATTCGTTCTCTCTCTGCTCGACGTCAGTCTGCTCGTATTCGTTCTTTTTCTGCTCATATTCACTTTGCTCGTGTTCGTTTTCCCCGGTGACCCTGCCTATTTTTGGCCGTCTTGTTGGTTGTGTTTGGCCTGGCTTCCACATGGTTGCTTTCCAGTTAGTGCCCCGGTGACCTCGCCTCATGTTGGCTCCTGCTCGTAGGGTTTGATGAGAGGCCTAGAGGTTTGTCGTATGTCCCCTCTCTTCGTGCTCGTAGGGTTTGTCGTCTGACCCTCCCTTCATGCTCGTAGGGTTTGATGAGAGGTCTACAGGTTTGTCGTACGTCCCCTCCCTTCGTGCTCTTAGATTTTGTCGTATGTCGCCTCCCTTCGTGCTCGTCGGCTTTGTCGTATGTCCCTCTTTGTCTGCTTGCAGAGAATCCCAAGAAATAAGAAACTGAGGTATTATTTTCAGAGGTTTGTCGTATGTCCCCTCCCTTCGTGCTCGTCGGCTTTGTCGTATGTCCCTTTTCTTCTGCTTGCAGAGAATCCCAAAACATTGAGAAATGTACGGTTTATTTTCGAGGTTTGTCGTATGTCCCCTCCCTTCGTGCTCCAACCCCAGAATGGGGGTCCGGAAGTTGCTTTTCCCCACCCCACCCTCGGCCCCGCAAAGCCTTAATTTGATCTGGCCCAGACCCAGGTTTTCAAGCCGAGAATGGGGGTCTGGGCCAGAAGAGGGGTGGGGGGGGTGGGGGGGTGGGGGGTGGGGGTGGGGGGGGGTGGGGGGTGGGGGGGTGGGGGGGGGGGGGGGTGGGGGGGGGGGGGTGGGGGGTGGGGGGGGGGTGGGGGGTGGGGGGGGTGGGGGGGGAACGGCAAAAAAGCCGTGGCCATTGGCAAAAAAAGCCGTGGCCATTGGCAAAAAAGCCGTGGCCATTGGCAAAAAAGCCGTGGCCATTGGCAAAAAAGCCGTGGCCATTGGCAAAAAAGCCGTGGCCATTGGCAAAAAGCCCGAAAAGTTGCCAATGGCCACGGCTTTTTTGCCAATGGCCACGTTCCCCATTAAGGTTGGGGGGCATTTTGTGCGAATTGGGTTTGAAAAACCCATTTTGGCGACCAACCTTAATGACATTGGTGGCCATTGGCAAAAAAGCCGTGGCCATTGGCAACTTTCCCCTGGCCATTGGCGAATTTGCCAATGGCCACGGCTTTTTTGCCAATGGCCACGGCTTTTTTGCCAATGGCCACGGTTTTTTTGCCAATGGCCACGTTCCCCATTAAGGTTTAAATTATGTAAGAACTCAGGTTCAACACCAGAGTAGTAAGAATCTTGGCCAGCACACACGCCACTGGACCTAGCAATGGCACGAGCACGGAACATTTTCCTGAGCTGCCATCGTGACATATCCTGGATTGCTAGGTTCTTCCAGTGACACTTCATTGCACCAAGGTTGGCTCTGCTGCTCTATTAGCCTAAGGCCTTTGAGCACTGGTGGCAACATAAGAACTCAAGCTGAAGCTCGCACCCGAAATGTCTCACATCACGGATCCACACATCCCACTACTCAACCAGAAGAGGTGATGATCCACACCCCCCTCATTATAACTGCCACAGCTGAAAGCAGTGAGAACGCCAATCGGATCATCACAGTCATTGTCCCACCGTTTGAGCAGCTGCGTTGCTCAATATGCAGTAGCTTGCGTGCTGGCGTCACCTTGCTTCACGAACTTGAACTGACTCATCCTTCTATCCCAGTCAGTGAAGAATTCTCTCAACTCGACAACTTCTATTGTGTCACCACTGACACTGCTCTCAACCGCCTGAAGATAGCGTTCAAGATAAAGGGCACCACGATGATACTGGTTGACAACTTCATCCATGGCAGTGATGCGTCTTGCAGGATAGCTCGTGCAGCCCCGCTGCTCCAGGCCTCTCACGGTCTGCGATCCTGTGGTTTTCCGGCAAATCGATGCTTGCACGGAAGTGGATGCACGTGACTGGTCGCCCCCGACTTGCGTGGCCGAAGAAACTTTCTCCGCAGCATATTTCATCGAAGTATCCCGGGACGTAGTGCGATCATGGGGAACCCATGCCTCGAAGACATGTATGGGCCACACCACCGTGCCGGAGGTGTAGTTGTCGAATCTCACTTGGCAGTGAAGCCCGAAACCGCCCTTGACCAAGCCTCTTTCACCCACAGGAAGTGAGTGAGTTTCATGACATAGTCGAACGCGAAGACCTACATCGCACACCTGTGTTTCCAGAGGCTCCCAGCTGCCCGTCAGGAGTGACGTAGCACTGGCCGGTGTCTGCCCCACCTGCGTCGTGGTAGGCTCCGTCTGGGTCCCCATATCGACCTCGCAGTCAAAGGGCTGGTAATATGGAAGCCAGTTTGGAAGCGTGACATCTATGACGTCGGTCTGTACTTCTACATTTGCCCGCTGCCCGAGCTCACGCGGAAGAGGCTCGAGGCTCTTAACCTGCAAGAGGTGGTGGAATAGACAAACTATTCGAGAAATGTTGCCCGCGCCAACAGGTATTAGCTCAGGGCTGGAAGGAGAATCGCTATAAACAGGTGTAGGTGTTGATGTTGTAGTCCAGGTGATAGTATCCCTATCAACGGGTCAGGTCCGGGAGCAACTCCTTTCCCAACAGAAGGCCACCCTTGCACCGCGAATGCAAGAGGATACTCAGGCTTGCAAGACCTGAGGGGTGCACAAGCGTATTGACTGGTATCACCTAGGTTTCCATTATGGTGTCTATCAGTCGCCACCTTATGCCACCTCCCCTGGCGCCTAGGTTTCCCTTATGGCTTTCCAGTATTAGCAGAACGCAAGCGCTCTTGAGCTGTAAGCGCTGCGGGTAAGCTCGCTTCAGCAATCAACTCAAAAGACAAGAACTGTACACGTCTGGCATCCGCATGAGACACGACGCAAGCAAAAGATATTATCGAGGATCATCATCACCATCAGATATTAAAGCCGCATCTCAACACCAGCGATCGGATATTACCAGCTCCTCGATCTCGTCGTCGAAATATCATTGCCAGCTGCACATCCAAGATTCAACATTAACCATCAAAATCTGTCATGCTCATGCCTTAACCCGAAAGTACATTATTGCCAGACCTGACACACTACAAAAGTTACCTGTGCATGATGCGCCAAACAAATTATTATATGAAAGAGAGAGTCTAGGGTTTAGGGTTTAGGGTTCAGCATCTCTGGTCCAAGCATTCACTAGTCAAGCAGCTTGTCAAGCGTTGGAAAAAAACCCACCCACCCAAGAAACCCATAACATTGAGAAAATACAAAGTTCACTCAATACATTCCCAGTAGTTAGTTTTTAACGGACCCAAAACCCGAAATCTAATTTAAGGCCCACAATGGGCCCTTTATGCTCTTAGGGCCTTCAATCCTGGGGTCCCGTGAGGGGGGTGTGGGGGGTGGGGGGGGTGGGGGGTGGGGGGGGTGGGGGGGTGGGGTGGGGGGGGGGTGGGGGTGGGGGGTGGGGGGGGGGGGGGGGTGGGGGGTGGGGGGTGGAGGGTGCGGCCAGGAAAATCACCGTTGCCCACTTTGAGGCCAGGAAAGTCACCGTTGCCCACTTTTGAGGCCGGAAAATCACCGTTGCCCACTTTTGAGGCCGGAAAGTCACCGTTGCCCACTTTTGAGGCCGAAAAATCACCGTTGCCCACTTTTGAGGCCGAAAATCACCGTTGCCCACTTTTGAGGCCGGAAAATCACCGTTGCCCACTTTTGAGGCCGGAAAAATCACCGTTGCCCACTTTTGAGGCCGAAAATAATCACCGTTGCCCACTTTTGAGGCTGGAAAATCACCGTTGCCCACTTTTGAGGCCGGAAAAATCACCGTTGCCCACTTTTGAGGCCAGGAAAATCACCGTTGCCCACTTTTGAGGCCAGGAAAGTCACCGTTGCCCACTTTTGAGGCCGAAAAAGTCACCGTTGCCCACTTTTGAGGCCGAAAAAGTCACCGTTGCCCACTTTTGAGGCCAAAAAAGTCACCGTTGCCCACTTTTGAGGCCGAAAATCACCGTTGCCCACTTTTGAATTAACATTTAAACACCATTAGATAGAGAGGGTTTAGGGTTTAGGGTTTAGGGTTTAGGGTTTAGGGCTTAGGGGTACTTCCTTTTAACCGATGATAAACGACCTTTAGGGCTTGCGGAGTCAGGGTTTGGGGGGGTACTTGGAGGCTCATGGTACTTAATTAGGCCAACTCTAACTGTTCTTAGAAGCCACTTATAAGCCCCTTAAGTGCCCTAATATGCCTAAAGTATGGTTCTTCAAAGTACAGCTTGAATTGGCTAATAAGTACCATGAAGCTCCAAGTGGGGGGGTTCAGACGTTGGAGCTTCGGAGAGGGGAAGATAGCTCTTCCGGGTGTTCTTTATATTTGGATTTCGTGGAGATATGAAGCAAGCATGTGAGAGGGTACACTGACTGTTGCAACTTTTGTTACTTGTGCGCATGTGCGTTTGAGTAGGAGCTCGCTTGGCAGTTCATGGAAGCAGCCTGTTGGCAAGTGCCTATGCCACTGGACAAACAAACAGCTGAAGAACGTACAGCCAAACTGTTGGATCGAACCGCACACTTCCAACAGGGGACGATATTCATGACAGGTCCCTACCAACCAAAGTGTTCATGAACTTGCTCAAGCATTTTTTGGGCAGAAAAGGACTTTGGAGCAGAGTCTATGAACCTGCGCATAGTAGCCTTCAGACTTTCAGGCTAAAAGCCGGGTGCTGAGGATGGGCAAGTTGCTGTAGTTGGAGGGATGCGTTTTCTGCCCCAAAGCCTCGTGAAAAGAAGGGTGCCGCGGGCCTCTGCATGGAAAGTCCGCCTCTTGAGACACACACACACACACACGTTGACTTGTCTGGAACTGATGAGACTGACACTCGACTGGACAACATCAAGCATCACAGAACCCTCAAAAGCATCTTGCAACTTTCATGCTGGCCTTGACTGGATCAACGCACTAAAGTCGGCTCACAAACTGTGATCGAAGTCCGTCAATGGACCCAACAACTTTTTGCTGCGCAGCCTCTTCGGTAACTTGGGCTGATGTGTATGACACTCGGCTTGTGCACAGCTGTGGGCCGCGGCAAAAGCACTGGCCTCGAAAGTGACATGGTCCGGTAAGTTGCAAAGATTCTGAAGTCGAAACTCCTGATTGACCGGATTGCTGCCGGCACAACACACACAGACACTTCCTTGCTCGATGTCTCGAGCTGCATTTGTCACGGCAATCTGTCAATTGCTCTCCAACAGATGGTTCATTCGGAATTGCACAGCGAGGATGTTCACTAGATTCAACAATGCAAAGCATACACGAGGGATGATGTCACAAATCTGTATTGAGCAGGTACACCGGAGCGGCCAACTCCGGCTTCCCACATCACTGGTAGCTTCGTTGGACGCAGTCCCAGTGATGTGCTGCGTCCCCCCGCATGAAATTGAGAAGGGGCGTAACCCCAATCCTGAATGTACAGCAGGTTGCACACACACACACACACACTAAACCTCAAACCCTAAACCCCTAAACCCCAAACCCTAAACCCTAAACCCTAAACCCTAAACCCATCCTGATCAACCCTAAAACCCGTTCAACCCTGGAACCTCGACTCTGCCAGGCGGCGTTGGCCACAAACTGCATGTACAGCTGTGGAAGGCCATGCTTCATCCTCGGGGGTCAGGGTTTAGGGTTTAGGGTTTAAGGTTTAGGGTTTAGGATTTAGGGTTTAGGGTTTAGGGTTTAGGGTTTAGGGTTTAGGGCTTAGGGCTTGGGGTTTAGGATGAATCTTGGGAGGTTCGGGGTGTTTCGGGTTGAGGGTTCAGGATTTAGGTTCAGGAATCTTGGCACGTTTGGGGTGTTTCGGTGAGGATTTATGGTCTAGGGTTTAGGGACTTTCGTTAGCCCTTACTACTGTTTGCTTAAGCACCCCCCCACTCCCAAAAAAAAAAAAGAGAGACAGAGCGTGCAAATGGGGCGCAAACTGAAAAGCAGACAGTCAGACAGTCAGACAGTCAGACAGTCAGACAGTCAGACAGTCAGACAGTCAGACAGTCAGACAGTCAGACAGTCAGACAGTCAGACAGTCAGACGGTCAGACGGTCAGACGGTCAGACAGTCAGACGCTCAGACAGTCAGCCATTTTGGAGGAGACTTGGGTGAAAAGCGAATTTCCGCTGAAGTTGGGTAGTCATAAACTTTTTGGATTATGTGTTCGAGTGTCTGCGTAGCCTAGAGTGTCTGAGTGTCTGACTGGCTGAACGTCTGCAGGTCCTAGACTGTCTTCTCTTTTTAATGTGCAGAGAGTTAAGCAGTCAGACAGTTAGACTTTTCTAGTCTAGAACACGCAAGCCGGCCTGTTCATGTCTAAATGTCTGAGTGTCTGAGTGTCTGAGTGTCTGAGTGTCTGAGACAGTGAGACTCTTCGAATCCGGAATACACAGACCAGCAAATCGGACAGGCAGACAGTCAGACAGTCAGACAGTCAGACTCTTGAAGTCCAGCATACGCGGACCGAGATCAGACACTCAGGCAGTCAGACTCTTTAAGACCAGATCGCATCTGAATGTCAGTCAGACAGTCAGACTCTCTAAGACCAGCTCACGTCTGAATGTCTGAATTAGCGGACCAAGAAGGCAGACAGCCAAACAGTCAGACAGGCAAACTCTTCAAGACCAACTCACGTCCGAGGGTCCGAATGTCTGAGTGTCTGAGCGTCTGAGTGTCTGAGTGTCTGAGTGTCTGAGTGTCTGAGTGTCTGAGTGTCTGAGTGTCTGAGTGTCTGCTGCACGGAAACGACCCCCGTCAGAATCTTTAAGACCAGCTCGCGTCTGAATGTCTGACTTGGCGGACCAAGAAGGCAGACAGTCAGACACTCAGACAGTCAAACTCTTCAAGACCAACTCACGTCCGAGGGTCCGAATAGGACCAGCTCGCGTCTGAATGTCTGAATTAGCGGACCAAGAAGGCAGGCAGTCAACACTCAGACAGTCAAACTCTTCAAGACCAACTCACGTCCGAGGGTCCGAATGTCTGAGTGTTTGAGTGTCTGAGTGTCTGACTGTCTGAGTGTCTGAGTGTCTGAGTGTCTGCTGCGCGAAATCGAACCCTTATTGCGCCCCCAATCAAAAAAAGAGAGAAAAAAAAACACTCTCACACACACACACACACACACACACACACACACACTCTCGCCCTAAAAAGGGCAGTATGGAAAAGTATTATCTTGAAATCCTTTTGTGGGGGGGAGGGGGCGGGAGGGTTCTTAACAGCAAATTGAGTAGCTTGCGGTTCCACCGAGTCGCATCAGCCACTGCCTCCAGCCATTGTGGTTCAGCCACATGGCCGTGTCGCCTCGGGAGGATCCGGGTGTTTCACGCGCTTTCAGCCCAGGCCCTGGCCGCAAGAGGAGGCAAGAGCAGAGGTGCAAAAAAGACACCGAAACATTCTAGGGTTTAGGGTTTAGGGTTTAGGGTTTAGGGTTTAGGGTTTAGGGTTTAGGGTTTCTTCAGCCTGCTGCTGACGCCCACGCAACGCAAAACCGCAGCCCAACCAACCGACTACTCACGCCGCAAGCCATGAGGCCCAACACCTTTCTGGCAAAATTCAGCCGTCAGCGAACTGCACCCCATAGACCCTAAACCCTAAGCCCCTAACCCCTCAACCCTAAACCCCAAAACCCCAAAACCCCAAAACCCCTAAACCCCTAAACCTGAAAACCGTACCACCTGAACACTTCGCCCGAGTTTCCGAGGAAGGTGTCGACGCAGAGCAAACATGGCTTGGCCTCATCACCTTGTAGCCGACCTGAGCAGTCCGCATGCAGGACGAACAAAGACCCTCAACCCTAAACCCTAAACCCTAAACCCTAAACCCTAACCCTAAACCCTAAACCCTAAACCCTCCAACGAACCCTCGCCGAAGACCGAGAGGCGCAGCACAGCGTCAGCAATTCGCAGCGCGCTGCCGCCTTTGAAGGAACCGAGCCTCGGGGGGGCTTTTCGGGAGTGTCACACGCCTTGTCATGACTGGCTCTCGACTCCACCGACATCTCCACTTGTTGCTTGAAGCAAATGATAAGCATGAGTCCGAAAGCGCTCAGGCTTAAGGCAGTGCGAAAGAAAGCGTGCTTGGGCGTTGGGGAGTGTTGCATGGAAATAACATGCCGCAGAAATGTTCGACAGCCATCGCCGGCAGGAGTGAGTGGCTTACAGTGTGGGCAGCATGTTGACGTGCGCGCTCGATGGGGTTTGAAGTCGACGAAGTCGCGCGCGTCCCGTGATCTTCTAACTTGAGGCGGGGGGTCACCCTCTTACACAACAGGCTGACACGTCACATGGCGAACATCTCGGTCAACCATGCAAAGCGAACTTTTTAGATTCTAGAGAGATGACAGCGTGGCGTATATGATCGTACGTGCTGATGATCCTCCCCTCCTTTGAAAGCTTGGTCCCACATCATGGGTTTTCAGCCTCAGCCTTACCGGGACTTACCCGATCCCTCAACAACTGGGGGGTTTACGCAAATAGGGTTCCCCTAAGATAGATAATATCGGGGTTAAACCCTAAACCCTAAACCCTAATATACCCCAAGTAGTAGGATCCCCTTATAATAAGGGTACCCATAATATCGGGGTTAAACCCTAAACCGTAATATGTACCTCAAATAGTAGGATCCCCTGATAACACGGGACCCCAAGAAGGTACGAGTACCCCGAATATCGTAAACCTCAAGACGAGAGGCTCCACCAGGAAGCTAGCTTTGAGCTTGCTGAGGAGGTCCTCCGGGTCTTAGGCGACCCAAAATGGGGTTTAGGGTTGAGGGTTTAGGGTTTAGGGTTTAGAACTTAGGGTTCTGGGTCTAGGGTTTGGGGTTGCCCTCTCTCTTGCAGGGCACTCGGCATGGCCTCTTTGACTTAGGGTCTCTTATCATACGGCCCTCTTCTCTTCGGGTATCATCAAGCTTCAAGGCCAAAATGGGGCACTAGCTTGAAGAATTGACAACAAACAGTGCTTACAGTTTTACGGTTCAAGCTCAGGTTTAGGGATCAGGGCTTCAAGGCTTAGGGCTCCCGACCTCGAGAAAGTCCGAGGGGAGGTTGGTGTGAGCATACCTTGGAGGCCGGTCAGGGGCCGTTCGTCTCAAAAACCTTCTGGGTGAGCCCTGACCCCTCCCGTCCCAAACAATGTGCCCATCCTCAAGCCAGGAAGCTCTCCGTTAGAACGTGGCCCCAACTCCAAGCCCCGCAACCCTTCGGGGGCAACGTGGCTCGGTGGGTAAGTCAATGACGACGAGAATGGCAGGCTGCATCAGGCCCCGGATGGTAAGTACTGCAACTGCGTTTGTCCAGGGCGGCCGCTGTGCACAACTGCAGACACGAAGACTTTTTCCTGCTGAAGTGAAACCTTCAACGGCACGTGTGCTTAGCCTCGTCCACTTCTTAAGTCGATGTTTCGCTGAGTGGAAGCACTTGGGGTTACATTCTCAATGGAAACATGCGGGTGCGACGATGCGAGTTCTGGCTCGGCTCCCGAGAACACAATCATCAGAGTAGGCACGCAAAAGGGGTGCTTGAGGAGCAGCCAACCGATGCTGTTGCCCGTAGTTTCCTACAGGAGAACTCAGGAGAAGCATCCCATAAGCCTAGAGTCTAGAGCTCCTTCCCTGCAGCTGTCTCATGGAGAACAGTCGCGTGTGCAACTCCTGCCCCTTTCCCTGAGGCGTGGTGCGTGTGGTCTGGGGCAGGCAAGGCCTGCCAAGGCACGCTATCGAAGGGCGGTGGACCACCGTACCTCAGATGTGGAGGTGCGGGATGCTCAAAGCCTGCTCAAACCCTGCACCCTGAAGCCCCAAAGGACCTGAGAGCAAGAAACCCAAGCGCGGCAAATGCTCTTCAACCTTTTTCTATTAGACTTTACCAACAAACCTGAGCTCCTCCAGCTCCACTCCCTGGGCAATCCGAGGCCCTGGCAGATGGTGGCAAAGGGCACGATAGACGGGCCCCGCCGTTAACACGGGCGGTGGGCTCACTCTGCCATCCTCAGGAGCAAAAAAAACTTGGGCGGACGTAAGCAGCACTTGTGGTTCCAGGTTCCCCAGCAACCTAAGAATCACGAAGACTACCCTAAACCTTAAACCCTAAACCCTAAACCCTAAACCTATTGAAACAGTTGAAGGGGGAGCCGAACCCCCGAGAACAAAAGGGAGGAAGGGTACCACTGGGGTTCCCGGGAATGCGAGTCGCGCCACCTCTCGGGCTCACCCCGCAGATCCCCAAGGCCTTGCGCGTTCGATATAGCATCTACGATCTAACTCTGCAGGTGAAGGCTTTTGCTGAAGCCGATCGCCTTCTCGGGGTCCACTCTTGCAAGGTGTTCGTCTTCTCGTGTGGATGGAGAGTTGAGGGCTTCTGTGAAAAGAAGTATGAAAAAGGAGCGTGACTAAGACGAGAATGATCTTGCCCCATGTGACCTCTTCAGCCACGCGTCATGATCCTTTGAACCTCGCCAGCTAGGGCGTCGCAGCAGCAGAGCCAGACCAATGCCCAGAAGCCTCGAGCAACGAAAGCCAGGACGCTCGGATTGAAAGCAGGTCAGTTGAAGTCGATGCGTGCAGTGAAAACTCTCTGTGTGTGCGTTCGCCTTGAAAGACTTCTTCTGTTCTCCTGATTGTGAAGCATGGTGGCTATCATGTCCTGTAAACTTGCCACCCGTCCTCAAGCTGCCGGGTTGAGGACAGACCGAGGTGGAGCACTGCGAAAAAAGGGCGTTGGTGAGCAATAGCTGAGTGGCCAAGCTTCGGAGGGTTGCCCGAAGCTGCTCGAGATCTTTGGGGGAGTTTGGTGATCTTTCGTGCAGGCTTCGAGACTGGGTGAATTCTTGGGTGTTTTGGGCTAAGTGGTGACAGTCTCTGCGAGACCAAATCTGGTGCCGAAGTAGCAGGCCCACGAAAAAGTCCACTTCGCCTTTGACAACACCGAGAAGCAGTCACATCCCCTCTTTGGTTGTCTCTATCTCCATCATGACCCCCATGCCCTACTACTCAGCGTTCTTTCCATGAAAACGCATCAACCTCATACCCAAAACCCTGCTTCCCTAAATCCTAAGCCGCCTAAAACCTTAACCCTGTTACGCAGGGCCCCTTCAGGTTCTCATCCCTAAATCCTAATCAAGGGGGTTCCTTGGATGCATGCCTTTGGGCGCAAGGGCTTTAGGGTTTTGGGCTTAACGGTTTATCCACAAGCAAAAGGGGTGAAATGACGGTTCGACCCAAAACTACATGCCCCGCCCTAAGGAGCCCAGGATGCCCCCAATTCAAAAGGAAGAAATCGGAGTTCTTCTGGTGAATCACTGCATATTCATCTTCCTTCATGCGGGGTATTGGGTTTGTAAACTTCGCAAGGGAACTTTCGCTCTAGAACATCCCCAGGGAGCCGTGACTGGGGAACACACCTATCCTATGTCGCTGGGTTCTCCCTTCGAGGGGTCCTCGTTACAAGTGCGCCGTAGGAGGTATAGGACCCAAAAAGGGAAGAGAAGTACCTCTATGGGGTCCCGAAATAAACTTACGCATCTCCGGAAGCGAGGTGCTGGATACCCAGTGCTTCATACCTGGGACCGCGAAAGGCCGCTGCTCCATCAGGTGTGGAACAACTGGCTCAAGGGAGTTTAGGGCTTCGCGCTGAGGAGTTTGGGGTTTGTAGAATTATCGGTTGAGGTTCAGGGGGTGTAGGGTTTCGGGCGGTTTGGGGGCTCAGGGAAAGGTTGTTTGGTTCCTCCAAAACTAATGCTGGGCCTTCGGATGTCTTTGTCATAGCATATTCCTGTGTAGGGTTTAGGGTTTAGGGTTCAGGGTTCAGAGTTTAAGGTTTAGGGTCTAGGGTCTAGGGTTTAGGGTTTAGGGTTTAGGGTTTAGGGTTTAGGGTTTAGGGTTTAGGGTTTGGGGTTTGGGGTTTAGGGTTTAGGGTTTAGGGTTTAGGGTTTAGGATTTAGGGTTTAGGGTTTAGGGTTTAGGATTTAGGATTTAGGGTTTAGTTTAGGGCTGCAAGTTAAGTCAACCAACACCTATGATCTCTGCGTGCTACTCAACCAAAGGGCCACGCCGATGAGAAGTTTCTTGAGCCACAAGACGAGTGGACTCGGGCGAAGTCGCTCTTAGCCCATTCCTTGACTTAAGAAGGATGCTGATGCTTCAGGCAGTGCTCATATGTGATGTTGGATGATGTTGGGAAGCGCACATGGGCCAGCAACGATTTGTCACTAGGTAACGGACTGGAAAGGGTTTGATACACCAGGCCTAAACACATGCATGCACGCACGCACCCACGCTCTCTTGCTTGCGACCTTGGAAATTAGTTGACTTGGGAGCTCGGGAAGCTTGATGAACCCGGCGCCCCGACGCATGTGTTCGGCAGTCGTCCTTCCTTAACACCCGCAACCCAAGCACCCGAATCCCCTGTTCTTCGCAGCCGCGCAGGCGCATCGGTCTTTGTCGAGCCTTGTCCCCCAAAGCGGATCACAAAAACACTACTCGCCAAGCCTCGAACAATATCTGAGATCTGGGTCTCAACTACCATGCGCTCCTCACACTGTAGGGTAGTCACGGGTAGTCAATGGCTCTCATCATTTGAGCCGTTCATTTCTTTGAAATCCGCTTTGAGGGCGTCTCGGCATGGGCCGGTGAAGAGCGGATCTTCGGTTGAAGGCCCAAGTCTCGAAACGTCTCGATCCTTTAGGGATTCTGATCTAGGAACATAGCTTGGTTTATCGTAGCCACACACAAAACCCGAGGCCTAAGCTCAGTTGTTTTTTCACAAGCGAGGCGCAGCAACAGAGACGCGCCCATAAGATGCAAAGGCAGCATCTGGAACGGCTCAAGAGGAAACATGTCTCAAGCCAGTTAGGTGGCATGAGCGAACGTACATGTCAAAACCCTAAACCCCTCCAGCCTGAGCACCCTAGTGCTAAACCTTAGCCCTTAAGCCGAGTTAAGCCCAAACCCTAAACCCTAAACCCTAGGTTCTGCCTCAGAGCTCCATGTCGGCCATCCGCGCTGCCTGGCGCTCCGAGGCGAATGCCTGAGGGAGGTTCATGGCTATAAGTGGGTTTAGGGTTGAGGGTTTGGGGTTGAGGGTTTAGTGTTTAGGGTTTATGGTTGGTTAGAAGTACAACTATAACTATAATTGGCTATCCAAGTACCTTCGAACTTCCAGGCTCTGTCATTGGAAGTGTGGGAGCAAGAAAAGTGCTTCATGCCCATACATCTGCGCAGTTAAGACAACCCTAAACCCTAAACCCTAAACCCTAAACCCTAAACACAAAACCCTAAACCCTAAACCCCCCAAGGCATCCGTGGACTGCGTGTGTCTCTTGTCAACAGATAGCATGTCGAGGCCGCAAAGTAAAATGCGGGACTATGGGAGAAGTAAAGATACGGGCCTTCTTTATGAAGCTCTAAGTTTGCTTGGCCTGGGGCGTTGAAGCTTGACTGAAGTAACATGGGTTCTGCCTTTCTTATTCTTCAACTGCTACTTTGGCCGGGTGTCTCCACGTAATCTGTGTACCCAAATACTCAACGTCCTCCACTTCTGGGACTTTCGCGCCATCCGTAAATGTTAGGGCGGGGTGGTCAGCTTGAGGGTGAGCGCTTCGGTCTCTTGAGGGGTTGAGCTGAAAGGATGCTGCAGCTTTAGGGCTGTAGGCGTTTGGGGCCTTATCTGACAACATCTTTCAAACGAACTCTGAGGCTTTGCATCATGGTCCTAAACTCCAAGCTTCACTTGGAGGTAAGGGGATGTAACCAGCAATCGAAGTCAACACATATGCTTGGAGTAAAGATGCAGTTGCAGATCGGTCATGCTGAACCCTGACGCCCACATTCGCCTGAAGAAGCAAACCTCCACCCTCAGAACCCTAAACCCTAAACCCTCAACCCTAAACCCTAAACCCTCAACCCTAAACCCTAAACCCTAAACCGTGCCCGGCAGCCTCGCGGGCCGCCATTGTCTCCATGTCGCCCTCGGACATGGACATGAGGTCCTGCCGTCCAAAAAAACACCCCTCCCTCGAATCCCTAAACACCCCCCCCCCTCCCCAGGCCCCCAGCCTCGCGCTTGTACATCTTCATGCCCATGCCCGTCTCTGCCTTCATCTTGGCGATCATGTCCTCCGTCTCGACCTGAAGAGGCGAGCTTTGGAGGTTGGGTTCAAGGCTCATGGAGCCGTGGGGGATCTTGTAGGCTTTCTCTGTTTTGCTGATCAGCCTCAGCCTTAGCGGGATCCTCGAGACGGTTGATCCCTACAGACCCCCCGGCAGGCCGGTTGCTCTCAGAAATTTCACGCAAGCCTGACCGCTGGAGGCTTCGCCGCCACACTGGCTGACATAACTTTGAGTCACCCTCACCCTTCCCCTCCTGTCACTCCTCACACCCACATCCGAACACCCCGTGCACCCGAAATGAGCCATCTTCGACCCTGAAGCCCAGTGCCGGAATCAGAAACCTGCAAACTGCAGATCAAGCGCCGAAAGGTCTCGCACACCAACTGGTCAGACCCTAAAGTAGCCCCCCAGACTGCCCCAGACCTCAAACCCTCCCTCCTCAATCACTTCGGGAGCCCACCCATGAGATAAAGACGAAGTCACAAACAAACTAGATAGAGCCGTGTAAAAGCCAGATGAAAGTTCTTACAGTTGTTGAAGCATTTCTCCTTCATTGCGACATATTCTGCTCTCGAGGCAATGCTGCAGGCCCCGCAGGCCTCCTTCTGATCCCGAGGCTCGAAAGGCTCGTCCTTCCTAGGCCAGGGCGCAGAGTAGACAGAATGCGACAGCCTACGCTCAGGCGGGAGGGTGCGGGTTAGCACCAAACACCAACTGCCGAGGCACCAATCTGGCATCTTGGGCCGCTTCTTCCCACAGGTCTTCTTGCAGACCTCCGTGGGGGCTGATCGGCAGGTTCTGGCCCGGAACCTCTCATGAAATATCCTTCATGCTAGGGTTCTAGAGCTTTGTGGCTTCAGGGCCTTTGGGGTCTCTCACCACAAGCCAAGCCCAGCCACGAACCCTGACATGTTCCAGACCGCATTCTCCTGAATCTAAAGAGACACAACCTGTTTCTGGGACCCTGACTGACTTAATGCAACCCCTAGCCGCATCCAAGCCCGAAGCCAAAAACGCGACGCATCAACACCCAGAGCCCTCGGAGCCCCAAGAGTCTCCGGAGCCCCAAGAGCCTTGTCCTTCATCTTCTTTGTGCTTGCACCACTCCTGGGATACGCAGGGTTTACGCTCTTGAGGGCCCTTCAAGCACTTGCTTCTAAGGGCGGTTGCATCGCGCTCATCGCACGTGCGCTGTCAGATCCGAAAGTCCTAGGCCAAAGCCCCGAAGCCAGAAGCCTCCAGACCTCGACATACACCCTCGAAGCGGCAGCTCGGGCTTCAAGGGCCTATTATAGGGGTAACCCTGAACCCTAAACCCTGAACCCTGAACCCTACACCCTGAACCCTAAACCCTAAACCCTGAACCCTAAACCCTAAACCCTTGAACACTTAGG